GGGGGTGGGGTGATAGTGGTCTACGATTTGCAAAATCATCAAAGGGGTGATTGAAACCCCATATGAAAGGGGAAAAGAGACATCAAAACTGGGCCATTTAACTTATTACAATAATAGAGTCAGCTGCTCCCTTTGATTTGACCAATCAATACCAATCCATAATCTCAAGAACTGGAAAAATATCTGTAGATTTTGATAGCATACAATAACACTTGAAAGATATTATGTGTTTGGTTGTTTGATGTGTGGGAAATGGCATCAAAAACTGTTGCAGGTGATTTTGTAAAATGATAAACACAACATAACTATAATGCAAAGAAGTTGTCTCTATGCTGAATTTTTTTGCTTTTATTAATTGGTCTGCAGTTTCAAACCACATGGCATAGCTAGAGCTAGGTGATGACATGACGGGTGTAGAGGTTGAGAACTATGGTAGAAGGTTAGTAGGTAATCGAACGTTTCCCTATGTCTTCCTTAGTTCAATAGTATTAGTGTTAGTTTGGTTTCCCTTTTATTCTTAGTTTGTTATTACCACATATTTTGTATTGTTGTTACTTACCTTCTGAACGCCCTTAGTTTGTTATTATATTTTATCTTATATTGTTATTACTGACTATTAGTGCTTCTTTCATACTCTCTTTTGCTTTCTTGGGCTTTGTTTTCTAAATACCTTGTACTGATATTACTTGTATAAGTGCTTCTTCCATCCTTTTTTTAGCCGAGACTCTATCGGAAACAGTATCTCTGTCCTTCTAGGATAGGGGTAAGGCTGCGTACATTCTACCCTTCCCAACCCCCACTTGTGGGATTACACTGAGTTGTTGCTGTTGTTGTTTTATGTGTAAAGATGTTGTCAATGCACCAAAAATGAGTTGGGATTAGTAGATTTATATTTCTTGACTCTTCACAAATGCCTATCTGATATGACTACAATTAATATTTTTGAAAAGTCTAACCAACTTATATGTCTTCATATGCATGGAATGGTACCTGTCATTCTGGGGTGGGTCTGAACCTAAGAGATCGAGACCCTTCTCCACTAACCATCAGAATCCCTACTTACTGTCTCTTTGTTAAGGACATCCATCAGTTCTATTAACATCAAAACAGAAAAAGAAATCTGATACTACTATACTCCCACTTGGGTTTCCAATCTAATTTTTGCAGGGGTATATGGTACAGATTAAAAGGTTCCTGAAATGGTTTCTGCGTTCTAAATTTCATTTAAAAGATCTCATAAACTCATCCAGCTCATGGTCTTAAAAGGAATTGTTTGATCAGATATTATCCGCTTTGGTCCAACCTTTGGGGACACTATTATCCCTTAGGTTTCAACTCAAAAGACACTTGAATCCTAAACTCGTCCTTTTATGGCTCCTGGCTTTATCATTCCATTTCGATGTAGAATTGGCCTGAGACAAGCTCCACAGTGAATACTCTTTCGAGTTCAACCATCCTAGGTTGTTAAAAAAATAAACTTCTTTTAAGAAAAATAAGAATGCTTTTTACAAGAAAGAAATTGGTGAAAATAGCACATGCTAGCCTTTTCGGACCGATAATTGAACAATAGCCAATGCTTGTAAAGTTATTGAAAAATAGTCACTATTTTGCTGCAACACGAAAAGTTCCAGTATAATATACTGGAGATTGATGGACATGTACATGAACTTCCAGCATATTATGTTGGAACTCCAACACATGGAAAGTTTCAGCATAATATATTGGAAATTGGAGCACTTGTGTATGAACTTTCAGTATACTATGTTGGACCAGTATATTATGCTGGAAGTTCACATATAAAAAATTCGAACTCCATTATATTATGTTGGAATATTTTCCGAATTTTGAATATCAAATTTATTTTTACATGAAAAGCGATTAAATTTCAATTATTTTTAAAATTCAATTGTCATATGTAAATTTGGCTATTTTTTAATTTCACCGGAGAAATTGTCCTAGCAGGATATGGCCGGTTTTACCGGATCCTGTCAACTAACCATACTAAAGGAGACTCTACAAAGATGGACCATATATAATGAGATCCAAAGCTACCTCCTTTTTCTTTACCTTTATCTTTCAAATAATAATTTATAAGCACCCAAGCATGATCAGCTAGTTTGCTTTAATAGAGCAAGAATTGTTAAATTATAGGAAAGGAAAGGAAAAAGTAATTCATCACAAACACATAGAAAAATATGAAAATAAAGAAAGCAAGAAAAAACCTGCCTAGGCTCTATTGAGTGCAATGAAAAACAAACATATTATCATATCATATATCCATAAAATGATAGTGATTAAGAAGCCTATTGGCTTCTCTTAGGCCACTAAAATAAGCACCATGAGTTGTTGAATAGTGAGTTCTATGTGTTGCTTCTCCTGCAAACAGAATTTGAAGTGGAGGAGAAGAGCAACCATTTGAATTATGAATGCTAGTCCTTTTTGGCAAGGGCTCAGCCATAATATCCAAATCATCTCCACTTGATCCAACTGCTACATAACTATATGAACCCAAGAATAATGGATCACTTCCCCATTGGCTCTTTAACACCTTTTCCACTTTAAAGTTACTTTCTGCATGCCCATTGCAGCACAAGTCATTTGATTTCTTGAAATGTTTTGAGTTTAAAAGAAAGCTAGAGATAGTTTTTGAAAAACCATCAATGATCTCTTCATTATCAAGAGATTCCAACTCAAGAGCTTCTTTACCTGCAAACCAAGATAATAAAACACTTGACTTGCTATAGATTGGACATAAATTAGCTGTTCTCCTCATCCACCAAGGAATTTTTGGGTTTGGTTTTGTTTGATGGAAAACCATCTGCAGATAAGGAAATTTTATGCCATATTCTTGATTATGGGTTGGATTTAGTTTCAAGAATAGCTTGTTTACAACACCAAAACCAAGCCTTGAGATTGCTTGAGTCTTGAAATGAGGAAGTGGAGGATTAAACATACCAGAATCTTGATTAATCCCTTGTTTTAGAACTCCAAGTGAAACTGTAACTATGACATGATCAGCATACATAATTGAACCATCCACAAAATGTAACTTCACTGCCTTATTATTAGTACCATTTTCAAATTGTAATGAACCCTCAGGCTGCCACTCAATCTTTGCGACTTTTCGGCCTAATTGGATCAAACCAGGTGGCAGAACAGATGCCAAAGATTCAATCACGGACAAGTAGCCTTTAGCAATGGTAATTTCTTCTCCAGGGAACATTCGATACTCTTTTTCAGCACTGAAATCAAGCATTTGCAAATCACCAGCTGATGTATAAGTCCTTTGAATATTCTCAAACATTGCAAAAATCCCTTCTTCAAGTGATCTTTTGCTCCATTTATCAATCCCTTGTACCTCAATATCCTCGCGATCGCCTTTCACTGATTCCCAATAAGCATCAAGTCCTTTCCTAAGGAAAGAACCAAGACTTAATCCATTGTTGGATTTAGCAATTTCATTGGATACGCCATCTTCAGTGACTAATTTCCCTTGAGCAAAATCCATGAGTTTGTTGAAAAGGTCAGAGATGGACTCAACAAGGGAAGAATTGAGTTCATGTCTACCTTCAGCAATGGTCAACGGTTCAATATCTCCATCCATACACTCCCAAGGTTGCTGAGATTGCAGTGAGTTAATTTGTTGAGCAATCTTATAAACAGGACTGCCTATAATTCCATGAATCCAAGTAGCACCCATTTCAATCCTGTCACCACAGAATTCTGATGTGTTAATTCTTCCACCAATCCTATTACCACCCTCAACTACACACACCTCTAATAATTCCTTGGATCCTGCTGTTTTATAGAGCTTATTAGCTGCTGTAAGGCCAGCCATTCCTGCCCCAATTATCACTACTTTTGGCTTCTTGCTTCCCATTATTCTCTTATAGCCAAAAAAAGAAAGAAAGGGAAATGATATAGAGAATATAAGCTAAGGAGAAAAGAGTGAAAGAATTTTGTGAGGAGTTTGTATGAAATATTACTACTGAACAAGAATCAAATATATAAGGAGTTTACTAGCTATCTCGTATTTCCCCCCTTACTTTTTTTTTACATAGTTTATTCGATCTAATAAAGACATAGATCTACTTTTCTTGGCCATTAGTGTTAGTGTAGTATTCCCCTTTACCCCCCCCCCCCNNNNCCCCTTTCCCCCCCCCCCCCTCTCTTTCCCCCACCATAATTAGCTTTTCTCTACCCTACTGCCACATGCAAGTTGCAACCCGCACATATATATATATATATATGCATGTATATCTCTAAGCAGGTAGCCATGCTATAAAATCTTCACACTGTGCGCAAATCCAGAGTGCGGGTTCAAAATTTTAATTTTATGAGTTCGGTATTCGGATTTCAACTACTGAACTCATCACCTTGTATAAGTTATTGTCGGGTTTTATGTATTTAATTATATTAAATACTTAAAAAAGGGTGAATGAAAAATGAAGAAAAATGAATTTTTTGAGTGAAATTTTAAGTTTTCCCCCTTGGCAAGGGACATTGTCCCATATTGGAAGAGGAAGAGGTTTTTTATAGGTATATAAGCAATTGCTCTTCTTCTAGCTCTTAAAGAGTTGAGAAAAAGGCAAGTCTCGCGTCGTCGTCGTCACTCGGCTTCGGATTTGATTGATTGATTAATTTTTTGGACCAAATTTATTTGTTAATAATAAAATATTAACAAAAATGTTATTAAATATTTGTTTTAATAACAGAATATTAATATTAAATCCAATCCGTTTTTTCTGTTTTGGTAACAGAAAATTAACTACCCTCTTCAATGTTCCCTTTTTATTGTTGAGTAAATAGCCATTTATGTTATGACATTTATGTTGTGGCCGTTTTGCATAAACAGCCATTCTGAAGAGTTGCACCTCTTCAGATTTCAGCTCAACTTTGGCTATAAATACAAGATTATTCTGCTCAGAATTCCCATACGACTTTCTGAGTTTCTTCTTCTTCTTCTTCTTCTTCTTCTTCTTCTTCTTCTTCTTCTTCTTCTTCTTCTTCTTCTACATAGTTTAAACATCAAACAAAGCAACAGTAAGTGTGATTTGCTACCGAACTTTGTGTTCTCTGAAGCACTGAGGTTTGAAATACCACTACACCAGTGTGTAATTCGTTCTATCCTGGGAGGAAATAATCCATAACCTTGGGTACTAAGAGGGGATTAAATTCCTTAAGGAAACACTGTGAATTCAGTGGGCTCGAATTCGTTTTTTGTTATTTCGTTGTTCATTTCTATTTATGTTCATTTATATTTTCCAGAATTATTTTACAACTACAGTTTACTAACAGTTATGAGTTAATAATTTAATATTATCTTCGTTTTAAATTAGATGCGGCATTTTCCTTTTTAGTCTGTTCCAAAAAAAATTACACATTTTCAAATTTGAAAATAATTCAACTTTATGTTAGATCTGATTTTAATGATGCAAATAATATATCTGTTCTATGTGCAAGAACTCATGTACAACATTCAAAGGTTGAAGGAATCAATCAGAGAAGATCAAGGAATCAATGGTTAGCTACGAGATGGAAGCAATCAATCAGGAAATTAAGAAAAGCAATCTGGGATTAGCAAAGATCAACAAATCAATGGACAACTACGAGATGGAAGGAATCAAGGAAGGCAATTCGGGATTAGAGAAATCAATCAAAGCCAAGACGGAATCAATCAAGCCTAGACTTAAGGAATCAAATAATTTAAGCGTATCCAAATCTGGAAGGTGCAAGATCTTGGGAAGCATACATGGAAAATCATTCAAGCCTCTCGTAAACATAGTCGTTGTTATATAACCTTATTCTTGGAAAGAATCAATTTCTCTCCAAGGATCAAATCTCTTAGGTTGACAAATCTCTCCAGAAACGAAGCCTCTCTCAAGGTATTTAAATTTGTATCTGTATCCTAGAGCGTTATACTTTGATCGAACCAAATACCCTCTCTTTATTCTACTATAAACAAACATTGTAGCTCTATTAGAACCGATGTGTAACAAGTTAGAGAAGAAAGAGAGAACAACACTGGTGAGGCATTGTATCAAAAGAAACAAGTGAAATAGGAACTAAGCGATCGGTGTAGATCATACCATTTTCTGTACTCTCGAAGAAACTTATTCACTGAAAAAGAACTCCCTTGCAACCCAAGGGAACTGGACTAAGATTCACATTGAATCCGAATCAGTATAAAAACTCTGGTGTCTTTAACTCCTGCATTTAATTTCTGCATCTTAAATTCTGTCTTTACTAGTATCAAATTCTTATATCTAGTCGACTAATCGTAAAACTAGTCAACTGATAGCTATTAAGATTAAAAATAAACAATTCAATCCCCTCTTGTATTTTCACTTTAAATTAGGCTCTTCATTTTTACTCTTAACGAGAAATTTTTATAACCACACAAATATTATGACCCCACAAAGCTTTTACCCTTTAAGTTTTTAAGACCACAAGTTTCAATTTTTATCCTTCTTAAATTTTGTGCCGAATCAAATTAACTCATCTGGATAGAGTATTTTTACCAATTTTAATGGTTTTACATAGATAAATCTAGGTCTAGACTAAAGTTCTGGTTTCAACCTTCTTCATAACACGTGTGGGAATATTCAAAAATAGGCTTGTTACTAAAAAAGAACATTAAAGCTTGTTTTAGCTCTGTATATATATTGATGTCAAGACTAATAATAGGTTGATGATTCCTCTCTCACCAACCTCTCACATGTGAATCAGATTTAAAAAAAAAGGCCCATATAGTACTGTAAACACCTTTGAATAGTGTTGATTAGTCAATGAAAGCCATGAATTATTTCAACAATGTAATCACAACTCTCATGAACTCACCCATTGACCTTACATATTTGAAGACAGGGTGTGTTTGCTATGAAAGGAAAATATTGTTCGTTTCTAATTTTTTCATGTTTGGTTGGCTTAAATATTTTGAAAAATATTTTTCTTATGAACTCATTTTCTTCAAATTCTTTATCAAGAGAAGGGAAAATATTTTCCAAAACTCCTTCTCAACCTTCCCCACTCTCACCAACTCAACCCACCCCCTCTCCAAAAAACATTTTTTTTTCAAATTTTAATTTTTCCGTTACCACCCACCCTGCTACCCTACCACCCCATCAACCCCCCTCCCCCCTTGCGAAAAAAATATTTTTAAAATATATTTTTCAGTTTTAATTTTATTATTTATCGGTTTAAAGGCTCAAAATTTTACAAGATCCAAAATTATGTGTTCGGAGGTATATGTGTTTGGAAGTTTACGGGTTTAGAAATTATAAAGTTTACGGGTTCGAAATTCCGCGGTTTTGAAAGTTTAGCAGTTTTAAAGTTTATGAAATTTGTGGATCCGGAAGGTTATTGGTTTGAAAGTTTATGACTTCATGTTTATTATATCTAAATTATTTATGAATACTCTTGATAAGTCATTTTCCTTAATTTGCGTAACAAATACCGGAAAATGAATAAAATTACTACTTTTTTTCCAAGAAAATATTTCTTAGAAAACATTTCCACGGAAAACATTTTCCGTTATACCAAACACACCCATAAGAAAACATTTTCCGTTATACCAAACACACCCATAGGTTTAGCATGATTATTTTCTTGAAGGCATTCAATAATAATAAGGATTTTAACTCCCTTCATCGATTTTCAATGCCAAAAGATATATAAATGGAATATACCTTGCAAGTACAGCTGGTCGAATTTGTGGTTTAACGTATCTAACAATAACAACAATAATAAAAAATTAAAGCGAGTGTAATACTATAAGTGAGGTTTGGAAAGAATATTATATACGCAATCTTACCTTACGTTGTGAAAGTAGATAAATTATTTCTGCAATGTAGTTTATGTTTAAGCCATGACAAAAAAAGCACAAGAATTAATTAGTTGAACCAACTAAGAAGGAGAAGTTCTTGAAGTAATCTTACACGATAAGATGTTACGTTTCATCTTCCAATATATATATATTGAATTAACGTTTATAAGAAAAAAGAAGTAATTATATATATTTTTGTGGCGTTAAAGATGAAATACGAGACATCTCGACATGTAGGACACTGTTTTAATTTGGATTTTTGGTCTATAATATGGTCTTTTTTTCTTTTCTTTTTCAAGGTCTATCATGGAATGAAGACACAATGGCCAACGTCATATGTAAAGTAAGAACAATTTTCTTTCCAACCTCATATCTGTAAATTAATAGCGTTATTTTTGTTCTTCTTCCAAATTGTTTTTTTTTTTTTTGTGGTTATTGTTTATTGGGTAGTTTACGATACCCGAAGCATTAATCTTTATCTAAATCTTCATTAAAGGCCGTGCAGATATGTAAGCACAGTGACTTGATTCTAAAATGATATGGTATTAAAGTTATAAAAAGCTAGATATATTCTACAAGTATTAGATGTTTTAAAGGTGACTCTAAAAAGATTAATTATGATTATTTATATTTTTGGTCGGGTTTTGGTATTTTCTCCGCAACCCTGATTGCCATATTCATCTTTTTGCTTAAAAGTTGGTCAATTTTACCTTTCTAGCTGTAGCAGTAATTAACTTTTTCAAATTAATGTTTATGTTAGTTTTTAAAACCTTTTTCATTAGTGAAGCCTTTAAGTGATGACTTATGATAAGCAACTATACCAGATTGGCCAACCTTCTAAAATTAACTTTTATTTTTAGAAGTATTTTTTTCTTCTTAAAAGTGCTTTTTCAAAAGTACTTTTAATAAGAAATAATTTTTTTAGCTAATTAATTTGAAAAGTATTTCTAAGTAGCAATTAGTGTTTGTCTAAACTTTTAAAAAATGCTTCTAAGTGTATTTTTCTCAAAAATACTTTTCCAAAATGTGATTTTAAGAAAAAACTATTTTTTTTCTATTTCTACTTCTACTCAAAAATAATATTTTTTTTTTCTAAAAGCGTGGCCAAACGTTTCAACTATAAAAAAAAATACTTTTTATGCAAGAATAAAATAAAATAATTACTTTTGGCCTTGAAGAAACTTGGTCAAACAGGCTATAAAATGACGCTACAAGGAGAGCATAATAG